AACTTGGTTAAGTACCTTCTTCTAATTCTAATTCTAATAATACGGGTATTAAGCAAGTGTGTATCGTTTTTATGTGTTACAAACGAAGCACGCGTGACTAAATCGACTTCTACAATCTACAGTGTCTAAATGTATAAAAATTGCAAACCAACCCCCTAGTCAATAGAGGAAAAAGTTATGAGCATCATAGCCGCTAGAATCTAGTGATCTGAATACAATTTAACAATTAATAAAATTAATTAAAAAGAAGACAACGATTTCACAGACTCTAAATAGACCTAAAAAGTAACTGACCTAATTATTTAATAACTGTTATTAATTAACAACAGTAAGTGTAAAATAATTGCAGGAATCACGAATATGTAACGTTAAAAAACAACGATCGCAAACATGCACGATAATTAATGTTATTTAATATGGATAATTTTACATTTAAATACTAGAAACATAGACGCATTAATACCTTCTCTTCATCCTTTAACCTATAAGCACCAGATGCCACTTGACTTTCTCCAGCCTCCAGCAATTTAAGCAGAGTGAAAACTATGGCCTCATGAATTTAACGGTTGGTTAATTTTTTTATAATATTTATAAATCTTCTAATTCAACCATTATATAATCACAGTTATTAATGATCGTAGGTATGTATAGGTTACACCACAGATTTATCAAAAACGGTCGTCCTAAAAAAACTTGTGACATCTCGGTTAATCTAATTGCGTAAATTACAAAGAAAGTAAACTACTTTACGTAACATTCTGAGAATCTCAAAGCGTTTTTTTGATAGCAACCATAATTCAATCTCAAAGAAACTTTTAGAAAATGAGGAAGAGCGAGCGTTTCAAAAGAATTGCATCTTCCTGTGTGAACATAAATGATTGTTTGTCTGAAGAATTCTCATCAATTTGAATTTCGTGTAATTTGCAGTTTTATTAAATTTATTTTATAATCTAGACAAAATTACTAATTATGTAGTAGGTAGCGGTGATATAATCGCAATGATACTAATACATCTATTGTTCTTTAAATTAACATAGATGTATAAACAAATAATTGAGTTCACAAAAAAGTGTAACGAATCCGTACACAGCTAAAGGTTTTGGTTAAATTGGGTCAAATTCTCATTATGGCCCCATGAGTATTGATTTTGGACTTGAATTTCCAATTTTCTTCCTTTGCTTATGACTTTTTGTAGTTATATTAGAAGAAATGAATTGGAAATTTATTTGGCGTTGAAATATAGGTAGCATATTACGTACCCAAGGACTAAAGTGTATCTCCCTAATAACTCGAGATACCTCAAAGCATCGGACCTGTAAACTGACCAATAGACGCACAACGCACTGACAACAGAAGCTTTTCAGTTTTGTTATAGAACAGGATGGGCATGTTTGCAAAGTGCTCGGGCATGCTTGAAACGTGCTCGGTCATATAACTCATAAGGGGTGGTCAGCTAGGAAGATTTTTTCAATGGTCGTTATGGAACGTTGGCCTTGTGTACGGTCCTGATTTTTAGATTAGGTGTTGAGAACTCTAAGCGTCAAAAAGTCGGATTCACGATGCAAATGGTTAAGGTCACAGGAAAGTTCAAGTCAGGAGTGCACCTGAAAACTAGTTTTAGCTGCGCTACTTTCTACCATGATGCAGAATGAATGAAATTTTGTAAGTGTGTCGTAGAGTGGATTGGTAGAGTAGGATTTGCTGAAACCCCACTCGCACAAAACAGAAATGTAAAATACAGAAAAATTAAAGATATATGAAGTAGCTAAAAACCTGAACTTCGGCTCTTCCCTCTTCAAGTTTGATCGATGTGCTTTAAAACCAATACAGTTTTTTTCGTGATTACCATGATCTAACCAATTTTGGTCTACTTTTGATCAACGATCTGACTTGTAGAACGTTTCTAACAGACAGACAAACAAACATAACATTCGCTCATCGTAATCATATCATTACTATGTTTGAGTCACTACCAGTTCATGATCGTCTACCTTTTTGCCTAAGAACTCCCAGAACATTGATCCATACTCCAGGTTGGTCCAGAATATACCTACTTAGTTTCTGGCGAACCAAGAACTCAATATGGTAGTATTAAGGTGTCGGACCACTTTAATTACTGTGAATTGAATTTTTTAAACCATAAACGAATAAAAATTCCATGTTCTCTCAGTCAAAATTCTCTTAAATTAAAATTAAAATTAAGTATCTTGACAAACTGCTTGAGATTTCAAGTAGCCTAACATGTAAATGCTTTCAAATCAACCCAAGTCAAGTAGACAATCCCTATATAGGCAGCGAATGATTAGCATATCTACTCTTCTAAACCATCTCAACAGCTTAGTTGTTTTTAAATGAGATTTTGTATTTTGGGTATATTTGTACTGACAACCTGCAAGTACTTAAATGTTTACTGCCTTGATTCATCGCAAGCGGTGTGCCAACAGCATTCTCATAGAAAAGATGCCATTTCGAAGATTATAAGTAGTATCATTGAATAATTGTATACTCATTCAATGGTAGTATTTAATGTAGCATGCGACCATTCTAATACAAAGTATTATCGTTAAGTTTCCATAAACAAAATTGATACTGTTGACATTCATCTTATCATAATCTCTTTTATAAACTGCGTATATGTATGTACAATCAATGTATGAATGAATATGTCCCCGCGTAAGATGGGCATAATATGGATCTGAGTTCCATAATAGAAGGCTTAGTAGAAGCACAACTCTTCGAAAGAGATGACAAAGTTTCCTACTTGAAAGGTAAACTTTAAAATTTACAGCAAAAGATCCTTTAATAACCCAATGTACCAATAAACTTATAGAAAGAGAATTGACGAAACCTTGAATGAGAGTATCTCGATGGAAACCTCAGAGCAAGATGAAAATGCGAAATTACTACAAGATAAAAATGGAGAATAGAAATCTCGGATCTAAATAGACAGTCTCCTTCTAATTACCGACCAATGTCTAATCTCAGTATTTTTGCTAAGATATTTGAGAGGATTGTATCCAGTGATATTTATTAAACGTATACAACATTTTTCAATATGAAAGTTCTTTAACATTTTATTTCCCATAATCTCCTGCTCAAGCTCAATTTTCTCCAACCTCAATAGTTGCTGATGAGGTCGATAACCAAGATGCTGATCAAGATAAAGATGAAAACTATGTTGACAACTGATACACCTCCAACAGTCTTTTGTAAATAGTTTAAACTTCTTATATCTGAAAATGTCTTCATATTTTTAGCGCTATTATATTCTTTATGGCTGGCTGGCTGGCTGTCCGGCTGAGATCTCAGCAATTATAATTGCTAGAGACTTTACATTTTCACTAAAAGCTTTCTGTTAGTGTAGATGTGCAGACTCTAGTCTATTTTGAGTTAGATTACTCGTGAGATCGATAATTTAAAACTTTGTTAATAAAATACTGATCTGCATTACCAAAAATGCGCTTTTATCATGCATATGCGGATTTATAACTTGTTTTATTTTTCAATCCATATTTTCTTTAACTAAACTGTAAATTGGCTTTTCTGGAAGTTATTATTCTGCGTTAATTGTTTATTTTACCCTTCTTCAAATACCTACTTCATAGTCATGATTTGACTATTTCTTACGTGATTGAAAACCGAGTATATCTCAAGTTGCCCAAAGGTAAGAGTTTGTCATTAGTTAGTTATTCCCAAAAGGCCATCTATTGAAACGTAATCGAGAAAAAAACGAAATTTAAAGGTTTCCCACGTGGCGGCCGGACTAAAAAAGGATCATATGAAAAAATGAAAAATAGATCTGCATGCCAGACCTTACATTGTACTACCTACCATATAGTAAAATATAGTAGGTGTTCTACCTTGTCTAAAACGAGAAATTATTCACTTTCACTTAATCAGACCGCACAAATTAAGAATTAAGAAAATATATATTATTAAAAAAAGAAATGGATAAATTATGAATTGATTCCAACAAGGATAGTTAAGTACATCAATTTAAAGTGACCTTTAAATCGACACATTTAGAAAATTATCCGTAACCGCTTGTGTATGACAAAAATACAAATTATTCAGTTCCTTTCTCTTGATGAAAGATAATCGGATTCGGTAATAACACTTATACTATACATTGATGACACATTTGCATACGGTATACTTAATACTTTCATTCTTAAATATAAACCGAGCAAACAAAATAATTTCAACCGCTAAGAATTATTTAATTTTTTCATCAGTGTTTGTGCAAAATAATGTTGAGGGAATTGAAAAAAAAAGCGCGACCCTGCCAGGATTCGAACCTGGAATCTTCTGATCCGTAGTCAGACGCGTTATCCGTTGCGCCACAGGGCCTTGTACCACGTTTAGTTCTTTATGTTGTATTTTGTTTGGTAGTTATTTACTATGTTTTGAATTAAATTATAATTAAATACAAATAATATGTAAATACAACTAATTTATTCGAAAAGAATAATTAATTATCTCACACATTTAATTTTAAAGTTTATAATATGTGTATTAACACTAAAGTCTAAAAAATAAAATAAAATTAAATGCCACGTCATAACTTTCTGACAGAAATGAACTTTGAACTTTACCGTGTCATGTAGACCGTGTGGCCTAATGGATAAGGCGTCGGACTTCGGATCCGAAGATTGCAGGTTCGAGTCCTGTCACGGTCGCGAATATTTTTGTTTGCAAAATCTACGGACTATTATTTCAAAATTTTTTATAGGATTTCACGTACAAATACGTGAAAATCAATACTGATCCTCTTTTTCATTCAAAAAGAGGTATTTATTTGAATGCACATTCGCGCGAATGGACATACGAATGAACAGACAGACAAAAAGTTTCCAATTCTGATCTTTCGCTACCTCTGGAAGTTCAACTTTTTGTAATACACTTTCTTAAATCAAAGCACATAAAAATTTCATATAAACTTTAAAGCCTTTTGAAATTTTAATATGTGCCAACCTACCTACAACTTTTTTTTGTTTCAGAACTTTCACGATGATCGAGGGAGATTATCTCCACAGCAACAAGGGCATATTCTCAGTGACGTGCAGCAACATCAACATAGATTTAGCGTTAACAGTCCGCAGTTTCCAGTACCACAACCACCGACTGCATCTCCCACAGCAGCGATCACAAATAATCAATTTCTGAATCATCAATTTTTACAAAACCGACAGGTGTTACTGAACCATCCGCCTCAGGTACCAAACCATTATCGATCCTCTGTAATTTCGGGGCTACAACCTCAGTCGAATGCACATCTTTTACTACCTTCTCAAAATGCACAAGCACAATTTTATCAACAGCCAAATGCACTTCTTCAACCTTCGCAAACTACACAGATTACTTTTCCCGAACAAGCGCAACTTAATAAAAAATTTCAGGTACACATTGACCCAGAAGTTCAGAAAAAGCTTCAAGAAAAAAAGGCGATTATAGAAAAACATAATATCTATGTAGAGAAACAGTATGAAAAAGCTCTAAAGAAAGCTCAAACCGATCACGTCGAATTTGTCGACCAGCAAAAGGAATTGAAGAAAAAGTTGTACGCGCGTGTGTATAGGCCCCCAGGCTCTCCTGGCGTGAGGTACTCCATAAATCAACCCAGGTATTTATATCCGGAAGAGATATCTCTGTTTAACGTAGCCGTCAAGAAATATTACGAGGAGCATCCTACAACAACCACCACCACAACGACCACTACTACCACAACCGAAGCTCCAGTGACCACAAAGGATATCGAAGATTCGTCCGCGTCTGAGGCGCACGCACAAAACCTTTACAAACAAATCCAAGCAGTTTCAAATCAAGAGTTAACGAAACCCTTTTTACCAACCGCCTTACCAGTCACAAAGGTAAGAACGATACAATCGCTTGAGGATTTGACACAGTTACAAAGCCAATATAAAAACCGACAAATCAGAAAGGACGACTTATTGGCGCAACTGAAACTGGCAATCGGCGAAAACCCCGAGGAGGGATTCGGGAGTAACGCCACTTCTAGAGAGGTTTCCTTAGCGAACGGACAGAAAGTGCAAATTATTAAAACCTCAGATCCGTCGCTGATTCCAGGTGCAACCCCTTTAAACCAGAATTCCTTGCAGCAAATCATTGCGCCTACAACAACCTTAAAACCGCCAAAACAAATAATACAAGAGTTAACGCATGGGGTGCTGCCACCAGGTGCGAAGTTTGAGGTGTTACGTCATGGCGAAGACGGTTTGGAACAGCTTAAAGCTCTACCCACTAATATACCGAATCAAAAGAAAGTCACCTTTGTTTTATTAGAAGAACAGGCCGATGGTAGTTTAAAGGTGCAAGGAGTTAAAGGAAATGGTGAGAAAGAGAAAAGTGAGTTTGATTACGATTCGATTTTAAAACAAATTAAAGAAGGCGAGATTAAGCTGCCCAATAACGTGAAATTGCCACCAGTCACAAAGCAGCCATCAACAACTGCAACTCCGCTAGAAACCACAACGGAAAAAATCACTAAGAGCATTAAGGTATCAACTACCTTCGGCAGTTCCTTTTCGCCTCATATAACACCATCAACACGCTTGGTTGCTAGAAGCACAACTCCCAAGCCGACTCTAAGCACTAGGCTAGATTCGTCTACTAGACGCGTATATCACAACGCACAAGATGACCTGCTTCGACAGGCGTCATCGGCTACCGCCAGTAGCAGAAATGTTCTCGTCAACAACTACGAGGTTTCCTCGACCTACCACCCCGTGGTAACCTCTCGTTCAACTACCACAACCACCGTTAAACCACCGGAGGACTTGGTCGAAATTTTAAAGAAGCACTCTTTGTATGCCATGTCTAAATTTTTAAAACAGTCCGGACTGGATACTATACTAAATGAAACTGGCCCGTATACCGTATTTGCGCCCACTGATAAAGCGTTTAGGACACTTTTAGTTCAGCTGGGCGGCCCAGAAAAGGCCGAAGAGAAGTTTAAGGAAAATCCGCGATTATTAAGTGGCGTAAGTTAGTCTGCACGTTGATGATGTGATGATAAGTTTTCTTGCAGCTCTTGTTACATCATGTAATACCAGGCGCATTTAAAATAGAGTCTTTGCAAGATGAGATGACTGGGGTGTCATTAGCAGGTACACAGTTGCGGGTCAATCAGTATAAGATGCACGATGTTGAATGGAACGATGTGAAGGTTGTTGGTGTCGTTAATGTCGTGATTTTAACGGGTTGGTTTTCAGGTTACAACGATAAATGGGGCCAAAATTTTGGATGGGAAAGAGGATATCGAAATACCTCAGGGTGTGGCGCATACAGTTGACAGGGTGATGTTCCCATTACCAGTGGGGGATATTGTGCAAACTTTACAATCAGATCGCGAACGGAGATTTACTAATTTTTTGAGAGCGTTATTCAGCTCGGGCTTGGTTGAAAGTCTGCAAGGTACCAAGACGTTTACGCTCTTCGCACCAACCGACAAAGCGTTTGCCGGACTATCACCTGAAGATTTATCCAAAATGGTCACAGATGAGGCTTTATCCAAAGAACTGGTAATGAGACATCTAACACATGGTACTCTATTCACAACTGGCATGAGGTACTATCAGGTTCGAGACAGTTTAGAAGCAGATCATCAAATTACGATCAGTAAAAGTACAGGTAAGAACTTAATTGTGGGTAATTGGCGCAATAAAAAGAATTCGTGCATGAATACATAATAATAACTTGTCACGCTAGCGTTCTTGCCTTTAATTATGTTTGGGAACGTTTCACAGATCCACAATAGAACCAATTCATAGTTGATTTTTGGATTATTTCGGTCAATTGTAGCAATTTATGCTTCGTCTATTTAGGTGTCATAACATTTCATTACGGAAGTACCTAGAACAATCGTTGGTAGAAGCTTTGCTCAATGTTTATTAAGTGCAATGAGTGTGAAATATTCATTTTCACGCTTTGCGTTTAATTAAAGGAAAAAACCGCAAGCGATCACCACCTATATCTTTCAATCGTTACGGAAATAGTCAGAACAAATTGAAGCGATATTATGGAGTTATTATTAGTAAATTATGTCATTTCCAATGAGTGGTAAAAATCAAATCGTAATTTTTATTTCTACATCCGCCAGTATTAAATAAGAAAAATTTTACTGGTTTCCTGATTGCAGGTTTTTATGTCCGATGACTCGTTGGGAACATTAGTTAACCAGCAGTAGCAGGTGATTGGCAAAGATCCCACTTCTTTAGCTTTTATTCTGCATCTGGGTAGGTAAAAGAGTCGGATCAGGAATTGTTCTGTTTACTACCGTATTTTCGTCCTAAACTTAAAATTTCTTCTATTCTACATACCCAGCTCTTATGATGCAAATGATTGAGCGACTGTTTATCTGGTAGTTTGGTTTTGTAAGGGAGCGGAAGGAAATGGAAACAGTTATTTACGCCCCTATTATGTCATGCTTACAGTTAGCATTTTGGAATTTGGTATGAGTTATATGTGGAGTTTATTGAAGGAATCGGCTTAAGTGTTGGTCGAGCGCATTTAAGTGTTCACTAACAGTCGTCCTTAACATGATTCTGCCCATCGCGTCAACTAAGAAAAAGTAAAAGTAGTGACGAGTGTGTCTAAAATTGCCAAACTGGGCGTATGCATTTAAATCATTTTGGTGAAGAAACCAGAAGTTGCTTCAGAAACATCTAACACTTTTAATTGCACTCCACAAATGTTCGTTCTGACAGTATTATCTCGTAAATAGCACAAGTACCAGATGAAAAGAAAATTAATTATGATCATATATCACTTCTGAGTTTATACCTATTTTATGCCATTGATCGCAGTTGTTTCGCAATGGTACAAGAAGCGGATAGATCTTCAAACAATAATCGGTGAAAGGATTTACTTATATACACCCAATACTTTCGAGTCATCTTTTCCGTTTGTTCGTCTAATTAGCCTACTTCTTCGTCTCGTAGATTCAAGAATTATACCCATCAAGCAACCCACTTTCTTTATTGTGTCCCCTTGAATGTTACGTACTTAGGTACCTACTTCCTAAATAAGTGCATAGTTTGAACACACTTATTACTTTATATAACTTTCAATTTATTAACAAAACCGCAATCAGCGACGCGTAATTGACTGATTCGCTTGAAAGATTTTCACTTTTTATGATTCACAATTTGGCATCCTTTGCCTTTTACTGGACATCACATAATCTCATAATTTCTAAAAAGCGTTGACAAAACTTTCCCATATCTCTACCCGAAGCGGATGTATACTTATACATGTTTCTTCTTTTAGGAAAAGTAAAAGTGAACAACGTGAATATCGTCACTCAAAATATTCCGGCCACAAATGGAGCCATTCACGCCGTAGATGTTTTATTATAAACGCACATTCCTGCCATCATCATCTTCGATCATTTACATATTTAAAAAAAATGTACATAGATTAGATTTAAGATTATTGACGAACGTACTAAGCAAGTGATCGTTATGTATTTCCTGTTATTTTACTTGTGTAATGAAAGGAACAAATTGTTATTTTATTATTTGTAGTAACTTTTATTTAATAAAATGCGTTAATTTATCACAACGACCAATAAATTACGTACCTATGCTATTTGAAAAACTTACTGAAAGTGACGAAAATGTAACCCCATGTTCCAATTCCAGAATAAAAACTATGTACAACCATTATGTTTAAATTAAACAATGGTACAACCTAGTACTCCAAAACACAATACCTACCTAAAAAGTAGGATACTATACTCTACTTCGAATTCTAAGCAAAACCAGCGGTAAGTACCGTGCTAAAAGTTTTGACTTCGCCGTCAACCAGGTCTTATCTAGTCCTATAGCATCCCTATGTCACACTCTTTTCACAAGATAGAAGTGGATCAAAGCCTTAATCCCATCGATTTTCAGTATAGGGGATTTTTGCCACTCAGCCGCATTCGTGAACTAGGCATTTAATCCGGCTCATATTCAATAGCACTGATCATTGAACTCGTGGAAATCGATTAGCGAAGGTTTGACACGAGGAACAGATGGACGGACCGACAGACGACGCACAAAACCATCACATAAGGGGAATTTCTTTCGAAAAATGCCAACCATTTTTGTGATCTGGGTACATAATACGCCAGTAAACAAACGGAGAATGCATTCACCTAATAATATACAGTGATATTTATTTAGAAGTAGACATAGTGGAATTTATTTATATTGTTTTTCCCTATGTCTACTTTCAAAAAACAAAATCCCTTCTGAAGGGCGCATCCGAAGTAACTTTTTAAAACAAATAAACATCTGGTTATCATAATATTGTTGCGTTGACTTAACAGAACATAAACCCCTCGCCAGGAAAGATTGCCGGTCACAGAACACGTGATCCCGGTCTACAATCTATATTTTTCTTAAGATGCGAGCGACTTCCGAGATAGTATCCTGGCAATGTTGAACGAAAAGTCTTTTCGCCACGACATTGGCGCGATCTCAATTACGGCATAGATATTCTTATAAATAAGAACGTAGCATTGCGCAATCTGCGCACGTGCGCACTTGATGTTTAAAATATGCGATATCATTGCCTTTACTAGAAGAATCTTTTGTTAAAATTTCAAGATATCTCCATAAATAAGAAAGATGACTTTGAGCAGTTTTCGCATGCGCAAATTAATCGTCAAGATTTTTCTTGGTTCGGGTGCCAGAGCTACCGAATTCAAAAAGAACGAACTAAATATCTGGAAAACTGTAGCATTACTTATACGCCTCGGACGGACGGCCGGATAAATTGACTATATTAGGGCCTTCCAACATGATTTGGAAAATGCGCTAAAAATTTAATGAATTGAGGCTCACTGCAGATGACCTGTTAGATCTAGATCTAGGCCACGGGATGTAGTGCCATTAGTATGGACCTGAGCATTCCGAGCTCCTACAAAATGTTGTCTCTCAAGTTCCTATCAGCAAGGTGGCTCTTTTCTAAGGAACATAAAATAACAAAGGCACAAACATACCTAAATATATCTCTGGCGTGTGTCAGGTGGCTTATTTTATTTGCACTTTTACCTGCAACGCATACGTCGAGATTTCAAAATGAGGGGTACTACATTGAATAAACAATGTTTTACTTTTTATTGCAAGTAATTGTATTTATTTTATATAGAGGGCAGACTCTTAGCTACTCCGGGTTCTCCTTAAGTTATTCTCAAATTCTGAAATTACCTTCATGTTATGAAAGCTTTGATAGTCTCTTCAGAATCGTTTGACCAGATTTTCAATTCGGGCAGTGTTTTACCCGTTTTTTACACTAGTGGTAATGGTGTATCCTAGTTTGGTAATAACAAGTTTGCTTTATCTTTTTAGGTTTTCTAATTTACTACAATAGATAATCAAGAAAAGTCATAATTGGAAAAATAAATTCGACTCCACACACAATGGAACATTTTTAATTTTTATTTTTGAAGTCTATCTTATACCTATAACGCACCCACCAGTCCGTAGGCTTAGGTATACAATATCATCAGCCCCCCTCCCCTTACGCTATTACACCTATGCCTAATCCGCCACTGTATACGGGGTGCTTATTTTATTCGTAAATCTGTTGTAATAAACTGTTCATAAAGTTGTAACATTTGAGCAGTCTAGAATCTTACACCTTTGACTTTCCATAGCTAGTATTTTTTCGATGCGTTTTCACTTAAAGAGTTTAGTAGAAATGATGGGTTTATACAATCAAAAAAAAAACGAAGGTATGGCTTCGTTGGTTAGCGACGCACAATAAACCTTTGTTTCTATTGGCTATTTCTCAATGATCTAATGATAGTCAACTATAATGATAATAATTGTATAAACCCACCAAAAGTTACAATAAAAAGTATGAACTGAGTTTGTGTTTTGATGAAAGATTTGATGTTTTAACTCACCCACCGATGAACTGTTTGATCCCTCTTCCATGAATTCACAAATAAAACTACAGAAAATAAAATCGCACGATCCCGGTAGACACTGTTGTTATCTAAACGAATGAACGAAAGCGAATGACTCGGTTCTGAAATTGTTACTTACTCTAATAAATTAAATGTGTTATGCGCATGTGGTGTCGGTTACAGCGATAAGAATTAGAGTAGTAAAATTACAAAATGTGACTTTTCAGATAATGACAATATCCATTTTTATTTGTGGTAATGTGGTTTGGATGAAATTTCGAAAATGTCATCAATTAAACCTATAGATATGCAATTTTTTCATGTTCTGCTGCTAGTTGTTAATGTTTCGGATGTTTTTACGTTTTCCAGTATAGTAGCGACTAAAGTTTTATGTTATGTAGTTGATGCGGAAGCCGCTGGTAGAATAAACATTTTGATTTGAGTGTGTCGTAGTATATTTATTAGTACCTATATACATTAATGTTACGCCACTGTCTTCAAAACGGTATAAGAGCCACAATCAATCTCTGATTATCAACATAACCCAACATTTTATTTATTTTGGAGGGATTTTTGTTATAAATTTCTTTAATTGGAATTCAATGGATACAGTCGAAAATGCCGAAGACGTCCAAAGCGATGAAAGCGAATACGAAGAAATTGCCCATACCGCAGCAGAAGTGCTTGAGCTTATGGAGGAAGCCTGGTTAAACGAAAAATTTGCACCCGAAATATTACCGCACAAGTACGATATCGTGGAGTGCCTTCTTGGTCAAATAAGCCACGTGGAAGAAAACTTGACCAACGTAGGCAATGATGATCTACGAAGAAGTCTACATCAAATGGAATTAGACCGATTGCGGTATTTAGTTTCGAGTTATTTACGAATGCGACTGGAAAAAATCGAAACCTACGTGTATTTCATATTAAAACAAGAAGAGGAAAGAAGCCAAAAAGGGGAAGAAAACTACCTCAATAAGAACGAATTAGAATTTGCCAAAGCATACATGCAAAGTATGTAGATATGGTAGTTAATGGAAATGTTAACATAATTTTTAGGTTTAGATCAGCATTTCACAGACCGATTGCATTTTTGGCCTGGAAATATTCCCACAGAGTGGAAGAATCAACTAATCATCCCTAATATACATAGTTTCGTGTTTATGAAAGCGAAAAATGAGATTGAAGGTGTAATGGTTAGTCATGTAAATGAAGAAGAGGAAGTTGTAGATTTAAGAACAGGATCACAAATATTAATTTCTTATAGTAATGTAGGGCATTTTATTAAAACTAATCAATCTTGTTTAATTTAAAAATATTTTAATTGTAACTTTGGTTTCACTGTGTATTTTATTAAACATTAAATACTAAGGCGTGCTGCTTCTAACTTGTACCATCTTTCTTGAAGTACTCTTCCGCTATACCTCGTAATTTATTTTCTGTCGCTGGACCCGTCTCTTTCACCATCCTCGTGAAGTAGCCATTGGAACTTTTAAGCAACTCGTGTGGCTGCCCATACTCAACAGCTTGCCCTGCATCCATAACCAGAACTTTATCGGAATCCATAATTGTATTCAACCTATGTGCTATGGTTAATACTGTGCAATTTTTGAAGTTTTTCCTAATGGTCTGCTGTATGAATGCATCCGTTCTAATAAGAGAAAGTTAATTGAAATTCCTTTACCGGATACAAATACTTACTGTAAATCCACATTGGCGGTAGCCTCATCCATGATTAGTAGCTTGTTATTTTTTATGATTGCTCTTGCTAAACAAAAAAGTTGTCTCTGACCAATACTGAAGTTAGTTCCACCTTCCTTTATCTCTTGATCTAAACTACTGACAATTTGTTTCAATTCGACCTAAAAATAAGAAGCAATTATTGTACAAGTATCGTTTTCAGACCATATTTAAAGTCTCAAAAAAATCAACTGAACAGGTATAAGTAATTTTCTGATTCCTTTTTCTACAAAAATTATAGTGTCTGTATCAAAAAGTCGATTGTTAAAACTTGTATTAAAAATAAAGATAACTTTATGTTCCCTAAATATATTGATTAGTTGTCTCTGACCGATACTGAAGTTAGCCCCCTTTCCTTTATTTCTGGATAGGTATACTATATATACATAAGTATCAGTTTTCCTTAGTGTTTCTCCTTTCTCAGAGACTACTTGGATGGAGAAGAGAATCTTCAATTTGTTATAAAAGGAGCATAAAATGCCTGAAAAGGAACTATACAGACTCTGCAGCACCACACACTACCATAATTTTACCACTAGAGCAGATTTTTTTTAACGCCCCCTTCCTGATAATCATAATAATTACTTTTTTATTATATCTGAATCACAATCTCCGTTTTAAACACTCAAATGCGTGCGAAAAAGGGCCTTTAAAACACACGTGCTTTAAAGTTGCTAAGTAACGATACTTCAAGTATGACTTTTGAAACTGTCATCTGGATGAAATAAAAAATCCTCTTAGGTCGCTTTCTGTAAATGCAGAACATTCCTTTGGCTTTTGTACCTATCCTTTGGTTGAAGCTTTCACAAACGCGCGTAATTTAGGGTATGCTTCCAAATCTGTTTCACTTTTTAATCGTGGCATTGCTTTAAAGTTTTGAATGAATGCACCAAAATATAGAAGATTTAAATACCTTTGACATTTCCTTCATATATGCCAGCATTATGGATGCATTTAAGACTGAATTCGTAAGTATCTTCCTATTCATCCATGGAAACAACTTTTCATATTCTTTATAATAGGCTTTACTGGAGTGGATTTTACACCTACCAACGTTTGTTTAGATTTTACAACAATCACGAACACCCAGCCCACTTAATTAGACATGTATTCGAGTATAACGTCAATATGACTTCATTGTATTTCCTATTTTTAAATTATACTGGAGGTATAATAAAAAATACTATAAGATACACGTGTATAATTGGTCTTTAAAGCACTTGCAACGTTAAAGGCACTCCGCTTTGCGTCGTGCCCTTAAACTAGTTGCGCGTGCTTTAAAGACTTGATTATACACTTGTATCTTAATATACTATTATTGAGTTTCAACTAATTATACAATTTTCCAAATACCTACTTACAAATAAACATACCCTTCACGAAATTCAATAGGAGCAGTTCAGATATAACCAACCTGTTGCGCTCTTCCACTTCAATCTCAATTGAAATGCATTTGAATTTTTTAGTTATTTAGGAGATTTGGCATCAATATTGAAAATTGAGAATTTTATGGATTATTTAGATCAGTTCTATAAAAAACTAAAATGTTTATTGTGGGCTAGCGCTGTCTACATGAGTTCAACCCCTCCCCCACACTGATTTGATTTACTTACTTCTATTTTAAATTCAATATATCTTGCATAAGATGCAAGCTACTTAGGGGTTTGTACGTACAAGCAATGATAACTTTTAAGCACAAAGTATATCTAAGGTTATTCACAATGAGTAAATTGTAATCAGAGAAGGAACCAAACCAGTCTTGCAGTTAAGAATTAGCTATTTTAGGTGTAGCTTAATTGCGATTCCGAAGAAACATAGTGTTTGGGAATCTTTGAACATAAAACGAAAGATCTGTAGTTCTTGAAAATAAAAAAAAATTTAATAATTCTTATAGCGACATCAAGAAAACAGTCAGATTTCAAATTTTTCCGATGCACAAAACAAGTTGTAGGTACTCAAATTACTTGACTAATATACAGTGATATTTATGAAGTCTACAGAGATTTAGGTGTGATATTTTTCCCTATGTCTACCTTTTAATGAATAGCATAACCATATTCAAATTAATTAACATGACCGCCAGATCTTTATTTGTTTTATGAAGTTATTTTGGATGCATAAAATTAGGCGACCTTCAGAAAACCAATAGGTACACGTAAATCCCTATGTCTACTTCTTAATAAATTTCACTGTATAATAAACTGGTATATATAGACATGTTATACAAAAAAAATGCAAACAAAATAAGTGTACCCAGAAAAATTTCATATCTGACGAATTTTGAGCACTGAGTTTGAATTGAAGTAATTCAAAATGAGTCAAGGAGATGTTAAGATTTGAGACTCGATCTCCTTACTTTCTTGAAGACTGAATATGAAAGAATTTGCTGTATTGCACATGAAAAGGCCTTGGGAATGCCCTGGAAAGGGATATAGTACTAGAAAAGAGATCAAATGGGCTGCAACAAATTTATAAGGTCTTCGGAATCCTTTTTAGGTCCTTTCCAGCGCTATAAGGGAGTCTGCAAAGGACTGCAAGGAATCTAGAATGCTCTGATAAGTATACCTACTGAAGCAATCCACTTTATAGATACAGTAGGTATAGGCTCTCGGTAATCCGACACCCAAATTTTTTTGTTTATGCCGGATTAGTGGATTTGTATGGAATATGTAGCATTTTTTACATCCTATACTTTCTACTAAATTCTATCATAGATTCCTACAATCAAAGAGTACTAAAGTAGGTACAAAAAGTCTACCATCTAGTCTAAACGACTGACGCACGTGGGCACTACGCAGGTAGCTCCCAACGAAAGTAAAAAACCACGTGGTTCGCTGTCAAGGTCTATTATAGACAGATTATAGAGTGGGTCAACCAAGTCGCTAAATGTCGGAGTACTGGGTGTGCCGGACTGTCAGGCGCCAAATTACCGAGCTTGCTAATTAATAATTTAAAGTTAGGTGTTACAGATTTGAGTATGTACTTTATTATTAACGAAAATTAAGCAGGGTGAAACTATGCGTTCGGCTGTCAATTATTTGTCATTGGAAATGAAACTTAGACCATATAGTACATGGGCTGCTAATTATGGTCAAATATGGTCAAGTACATTGCCTGGGTATGTGCGTTTCAAGGTAAACGAGTCGGTACGAAATTGTCTGATGAGACACGACTTGAGACTGTCAACCTATAAATTAACAAACGTCAATTAATTTATCGCCTAGATATGGCAAAAAAAGCAAACCTATTCTTATTTGTGGACGTATAGAAGAAAATCAAGAGTATTTAAAGCTTCCCGTAAGCCCGTACTACGCGGTTACCGTAAAAGCTACTCTTTACGCGATCCGAGTGGTGCTCATATGACTTTAGTTTACCCTGAGATTCACATACCCACGACTACAGTGCCCTCTATCCGAGACCACCCATTTTGTATTCAAAGCATATGGCTAATTATAGCAGTCCATGTACTATATAGTCTAAGAAATGAAATTAAATTTGTTAATTACGCAAGCTGCTAGTGAATTATAACTTGGCTAAAAGAAACAATTAATTCCTTTTATTCTCCCCTAACAATTGACTCATATTTTAATTTTACCACTTCGCATGAATATGCATTGAAGTGTTCCAAAGAAAGTTGCACTGGTTTGAGGTTCCTTAAAATGTTTACTACGGCTGACAGTAAGGTCAAATAGTGCCTTAAATGTTGGTTCTGTAAGAAGCAGACCTAGGTTGTACTTCGTCTATTATACTAATTAAAACATTATTATTATTCTGTCAGTGCCTTGGTTATGTAAACCACTGTCCATTTCAACCCCTAATACCAGTCCGCGTTCTCGTAGTTAATAGGTTCTGAATACTGTCACATTATGCGTTCGCTCGTTAGACCGAAATTAAAAGAGACCCAGTCAACGAAAACGATGTGAGCATGTTCTCTCCTCTCGGCTCCACACTTATCGGGAAACATAAAATGGCATACGAGTCTAAAATAGTGACAGAAAACTTGGAACCATCGTCTACACTCAGTAAATAAAACGTAAAGTAAATTTTTGTAACAAGAATTAATTGCAATTGCTACCACAATAATTTGGAAACGCGTAACATACAGTTGTAGTGTCTATCAAGCTTCTATGCCAGTGTATGGTAAGTCGCGTATGCTTAGTTTAAGGCATGAAAGGCAGTTCGTAAAAATGCAAATGACTCATTTAGTAATTATTCAGACACTACTTGAGCCTGGATTCTGTAGTAGAAATCAATAATTCTGGTTTTCAGAGCTTTCCACGCTATTTCAGAGCTCTAAAAGGAATTTAAAGTTCTAAATAGGTATGACAAAAACTTTATTTTATGAGATAAGATTTTTGTCTTGAAGAATAGAACGTTGAGCCGCCGTAAATGAAACGATTTTTTGGGAAATGTGGTAAGTAGTAGTAGTCCCTCAGAAGCACAGGATATCTTTACACACTGATCCCGTAGAAATATGGGATCCTTTATTTTAGCGAAGATCATTAAAGATGAATAACATACTGGCAATTATGTCAGTGTTGTGTCAACAACTAAGTTTGTTAGCGACCAACACCGAAACTGTTTATGAAAATGATGTTCAATGATGAAGTATTTTTTGAATTGCATTTTTTGACAATGATGTGTTTATACTTACATCTTCAAGTGATTTCCATAAAACTTTATCCTCACATTTATTCAGAGGATCGAGATTATGCCTAACTGACGCTGAAAATAATACTGGCTCTTGTGGAATGATTGATATCTTACTTCTTAAATCATGTAACCCTAACACACTTATATCTACATCATCTATTTTAATAAGTCCTTGGGTTGGTGCCAGTCTAAATAATGCAGCAATTAATGATGACTTTCCAGCTCCTGTCCGGCCCACGACCCCAACCTAAAAAACAGTTAAAGTTTAATTACAAAAAAAGCTCGCTCACCTTTTCTCCTGGATTGATAACAAAATTCAAATTATTGAGTACAGATTCTCCAGGAACATATTCCAGGACCACATTTTGAAATTTAACTTGTCCATGTTGTGGCCAATCTCTGGGCGGTTTATTTGTGGGTAAAGAGTCAAACGAACCCTCCTTATCTAACCGAGTATATTGTAAAATACGTTCCACACTCGTCATTTGGCTAGCCACTTCAGCAGTTTGTCTTATACCCCATTGTAACATTCCAGTTAATGCTAATGATTGGGAAATTAACAGGCCGACATCACCGGCTAATGTTGTCCCTAAAAAAATTAAAATTACTCATACACAGCTATGAAGTTATTCATTGAAAAATATAAGTTTCTAAATAGTAGGGGAAAGGGGGACTTCGCCATACAGATGCGGAACAGTAGTAATCATTCCACTTTTTGCAGAATAATTTAATACGCCATACACGTGTCAACAGCGAGCCACTAAAAGGGAAAGGTTACGAGTTCTGATTGGCCTAATGTGGCTCCCTCGCGTGTTGTTTTCCCGAATCATGTTATGTTTCTACACAAACCGTTCCATACAATTCTATACGTTGTAATGTAAGACTCGCCTCCTCCTACATAAAATTTATTTCTTTACGACTTACCATCATCAAAAATTATGAATTGAAATGTTAGTATGGCCAAGAAGATAACGCTGATGACATCTAAATAAAATCCAAACGCTTCACTGGTGGAGATAAATAAGAACCAGGCAGCTGTGTGTTGATCCTGCAGAACATCAAATTCTTTAATAATAATGGCTTGTCGTTTTGAAGATCTAATTGTAGATAGTCCAGAGAAAGAAGCAGAAATGTGCGAAAAGGCAGGCGCACGAGCTATAAATTTGTACGTGAGATTTTAACAGAATATGTAAAATCAACTCACTTATTCCTTCCAAACGCTTAATATTTTGAGCACTACATAAGTACACTTTCCTAATAAAATAAAACAAAACGGCAAGAATTACAGTGGGTATTACCATCCAAGGAGTCACAAGAAATACCAAGGCAACTATGCCAAACATTACAGCAAATATTTGTATGGCATCTATTAGGGCCTTTGGCAGTATTTCATCAATCGCTCCCATATCTTTTGAGAAGCGATTCAAAATACGACCTAAAATGACTAACGCTACTTCTGTAGATTAATAAAGCAAATTTACCTGAAGGATTCGTGTCAAAAAATCTCATGGTTGCTTTTAAAACATTGCCGAACATAGTGTTATGTAAGCCTTTCGATGCATTCATGCATATTTTAAAAAACAGCATAGATCGAAGAATAGTTAAGAAAATTGTAAGTAAAATTAATCCCGTGTATATATAAATGTACCTATATTGGGTCTGTAAGCTGTACGGAGTTGTTTCGTGGAATGTATCATTGTAATTTATCTCGTAATTTATTGTAGTGCTTTCCAAGAATGTCAAATTTTGATCATTTAAAAAAATTGGCGATATTGTTATTGGGTCAGGTAACTTATTCTGTTCTTCTTCGTTTGTCCTAGAAACAGAAAACATAAATATTTAATTCAATATTACTCCCTCAAACTTTTCCAGAGTGCAAAAACGGAAAACATGCAGAAAAAAAACTCAAATTGAAAAGTCGTTAACCGTTTATGAAATAAAACAGAATTGTAAAAATAAACCAAATAAAAATGAAATGAAGTGTAACAGTAAGATAAAAGAGAAGACTTACCAATATCTCAGCCAAATATCACAACCCATATAAACAATGTGAGCTAAAATAAACATAATAACAAAGAACCCCAAAAGTACAATAGGCCCTCCTGCTCGTATATAAGCTAAGTATACTGAAGATGATAAGGCACCTTTCTCGACTAATTCCTGAGTTTCTTGTGGATCAGTTTCGTCATCATGCTGTATGCTCTGTGAATGAGTGTAATGAGAAGCTGTAGTAGGTAATTATTTATCGCAATTACCTCTTGAGATACAATAGACATTAAACGCGGTCGATCGTCTGGAGCCTTCCCTTGCTCGTCAGGTGCGTCAAGTTTTAAGTGGGCTAATTCTTTCTCTGCCAATTCTTCATAGGTGCCCATGTTTTTAATTTGGCCCTAAAACACTGATTTATTAATCTACTTAAGTAACTAAAAAACTCACATTATCCAAAATCACAATGAGATCTGCTTTTTTTAAAAATTGCAATTGGTGAGTTACTAAAATTCGTGTTTTATTAGCTAAGTACTTTAAGAGACATTCCTCAAACAGGTGTTTAGCAACGTGCGTGTCAACAGCAGATAGCGGATCATCAAAAAGGTAAATATCGGCTTCTCTGTACACTGACCTCGCTAAATTAATACGCGCCCTCTGTCCGCCGCTTAAAGAAATTCCTCTTTCACCAACTAATGTCTTGTCACCGTTAGGAAATAATTCAAAGTCTCTTTCTAAGGCACATACTTTCACGATCTCTTTGTATCTTTGTCTCACGTAAGGCGTTCCAAAGAGAATGTTATTTCGTACAGTTGATACAAAAAGCCAAGGTTCTTGGGAGGCGTACGACACTTCTCCGCTAATTTCCAGAACTCCACTAATAAGTGGCAGTTCTTTAAGTAGCAACTGCAGGAATGAGCTTTTTCCTGACCCAACTTGGCCGACAACCGCGCATAGTGACCCTGGTTTCAAATTTAAGTTAATGTTAGTAAGGGTGTATATGATGGGATTGGGAACCCAGCTAGCCTTCCCCTGGTGAATCTTAATCATTCCTAGTTTTGCGGGATCTTTAGGCAGGGTTATGGCTTCCATTGATTGTGGCATATCCACTTCTTCTTGGATTAAAAATTTCTGGAAAGAATACAGTTTTAGGTTTTAATAACTAGAATTGCCTACCTTACTTCTATCCTGCTCACAGATATTTTTGCTTCAGCATAAAAAGAGACTGCTATTGGATAGAAGACTGCCATATATAGCTCAATGGTACTGAAAAGTTGTGCTATGGAGAACACTTTATCACCAGATAGTGAGTTTCCAAGCAGAACGTATGTGACAATGGTTAAATAAAAAGTCAATTTCTCAGTGTACATCATCACAGATACTAAAAGGCCACGAATGTAAGACGTAAGGCCAATTATATCGATTTCTCTCCTAAAAAATTCATTTAGAAATAATTCCGAGAGTATCCTCACTGACTTTCTGGCTTGTTTCACCATTTCCTCAAAGGGTTTTTCCCACGCATACATTTTAATAACTTGAATACCGTTTGTAATCTCATTCATTAGTTGTACTCGCTGATCTGTTCTATTAGCTATTTTCAGTCTTAGTTTTCCTTGTAAATATGATAAGTAACCTGCAAGTTAATGCTATTACAAATATGTCAAGTGTGATTAAACATACCTTGCAAAGGAATTGCTTGTATGATTAATGCCGCAAACCCGGCAAACGTAGCGTAACCAATACTGTCATAAACGATAAATGCCGCAACAATTGTCTGTATAGGCATAATCCATAAATAATGTAAGTAAAATGGCGCCAAATCAAATCTTAGCACATCGTTTGATAGCAAGTTAACTATTTGACCGGCAGCAGTGTTAGCAGTTGAAGCTTTATTTAATCGAAGTAACTGAAGGAATTAGTTCATTATGATACCTACATGGACGAAGAGCGCCTTACCTTACGATAAATTAAGGAACAAGTACCAATTCTGCATTGCATACCAAGACGCGTTTGTCCCAATGACGCGTGGTGCATTACAGTAACTTCCAATAGAGTCATTGCAATAAGTGCCGACGCTAATAGCCATCCTTCCGTAACAGAATTGCTACGCGACGCATCAAAATATTTAATGTACTTTGCTAATACTATCGGTTGTAGCATTCTAAAAAAGTCTGATTTTAGCGTTTACAAATCATTGCAAATAAGTGCATAGGTACTTTAAAATAATGCACAAAAGAAACAATTCTATCCCATAGAGCGAATACGGTTTTATAAACGTCTTCTTAATCACACGTATGAATTGAGGTTGTCTGTCTTCTGATTTCGCTTTGGAACACTCTTCTTGCCAATTTCTAAAAACAAGTTTCTAATATACAAGCGAGCCATGAAACTTCTTACCTTTCCATGATGTTTCCCAATTTTTCGGAATAATCACACTTGTTAATACTATACAGGTCCTTTGCTTCTATGTCCTTCTTATAGCCATTATAAAATAATCGAAATAACCACCTGTAAGAAATTGTAGATATAAGTTTTTATAAAAGAAACAAAATTAAATGACAATATTTTGGTAATGTTTTCACTGCTAAACAATTGTTCACAGCACCAGGAGAAAGATCCAAACGTCCTGGAGTCTCAGAAAATAAAACAAAACTTCGGAAAAATAAAGAGAAAGGATTCCATCATTCAGTCATGATAAAGATTTTTCCATCCACGACTCATCTGATGAAAACATTCTATCTTATCAATGAAAATCCAGGTATGAGGACACAATGATAAAGGGAATGGGAAAACTTGTTGAACACATATGTTGTAATATGTTAATATAGTATTTAGAAGGGAAGGGGACACTTTAAAGTGCGTGTACCTATTTATTTGTACCCTGAAACTCTCTCTTCTGAAATTTCTACGTATTCAGCAAAATTTTGCAATAATCTGCACCCAGAGTCTGCACCTATACCAAGAATTATTTACAGATTGAAATCCCCATTTCGACCTTGCCTTGGATTAATCAAATCATATGAAATATTTAAAAGGACTGTCTCCAACTGCGACATATATGTACCTAACGGTGTAAAGTGACGCAGATTGCGTGATATCCATACAGAGGAATTTCACCTATGACCTTGCCCTAGAATGTTCTCACTGCACCTTTGCTTTTGAGGGACAGTTAATTTATACTTCCAGGTATCTATTTGCATAAGTAAACCACGAGGTAAACCATTAATATACTAAAATCTCGACTAAAATTGCATGCACAGTCTGATTCAAAATCATGTTTTCTCCGAGGTTTTCTCTTTAAATTATTTGTAACACATCAAATTTACCTACTTGGTTGCTGACAAAATAAAATACTTTTGCTAATATAAGTACCTACTTATCATTGAATAATTCAATGATACTTATTGATAATCATCATTTCGAATATCATTCATTTGGCAGAAAGTTAGATATGTATTACTGCCGAGATTACTACCCTGAGAGAAAAATAAGTGCACGTCAAAGGTTTTATTTATTAACAAATTTCGCGTTTTTGATTTACATAGGTTCCAATTCCAATTGCAAAGTAGATTACTTAAATGCAGCGCGGTAAGGGGATAAATAAAGCTCTGGAGGTTACTGTCTTCAAACTGCAATGACTTTGTGTCAGAAGTCAAGCAAATTATTAGCAATTTAATAGCTTTGAAAATCTCTCAGGGTATGCGAACACCTCGGCGAACACTCAGTAGTGAGTAGAGAAAGCCGTATCTTTGTCTAATAGTCTTAAAAAATATAAGATCATAATTCTCACCACTATTATGGTTTGTGTAGCTACATATGAATTACACCCAAACATGTTTTGGCGCATTTCCCCAAAGGGAAGTGTGCAAATTTTATTTGTCAGACTTCATCTTCGTTACTCAAGCTACATTTTCAATTTTATAGATATCGAGAGGTTTTTTGTCTACATTTTGTAAAAATTGGGATCTAGGTACATTCTACCTAGGAAAGCAAAGTTAAACAAGAATGCACTATCATCCGCACGTGTAGACACAAACAACATATAGATCATAAGCGACAACATACCTAAACAGTAAACAACTAGGAATTAATTAATTATAATAAATAGTTGTATAAACTAAGATATTAAGGCGGTATAATTTTCAACTTAGCGAGATGCAGTTTTGCATTCGATTCTGTATTTTGCATGTGTTTGCAACTATTAGATCGGATCCGGAAGTAGAGAATACAGAGAAGATCAAGGCAATGTGCTATTGTCCTCGCTATTGTCACACGGACGGATGTGTAGACTGTAAAACTTCTTTGGAAAACCATGCGTATTTAGGGGTGTTACGTGGAAGAACTTTGCCCTTTGGTATTTTTTTGTTAAATCATTTAAGGAAACCGAAATAGTGTTCTAGTTATTTTTGTAGCGGTTATTATAATGTCCACTACCTACATATGAAAATAGAAATTACCTACCGTAACGTTATGTAACAAGGCACGATTAATGGTTACATTACGAGACGAAGTGGTTTAAAATCCAAAGATCAATAAAAATAGTTTTATCAAAGATATACAATGTTGAACGCATTATTCTAAAGTGAAACCAGTTTACATATTTAGTGCGTTTACTCCATCTCCTACTCCATCAATCTTAAAGATTTATTTATTTATTGTCCCTCTTGTTCTGGGCCCTCAACAGGCTTTGAGCCCAATTACACAGTGACCCGCATAATGCTTTTTAGAACAAGTCTACCATCATGTATTTGGCTCCGCGCATCCCATGACTTTGTTCAATTTAGTTATTTTTAGATTGCCTGCCATTATAGTAATTAAAAGTTGCACAGTTATTTCTTTAAAACGTACCGATCATACTAAACAATTTTAAAAGAGGGGGGCTGAGAGGATTTAATTTGTTTTTAATTAAGATAAATGGAAATGTTTGTAAATAAAATGGTCACAAGCCCTACACATTTAGTGGTACCATTGAGTAATATCCTTCACTCAACGGTGGTACGTTTTTCCAGTCCTACGCTTGGAAGTTATTTAGCACCTACGCAAACTAGGTATCGAAAATGTTCATACAGGAAAAACTTGGGAGTCTCGTCGAACCTCGGGTCAAACCCAACCTACTGAACTCACCAAGATTCACAACAAACAGGCGGTGGCTGCTGGACTATTATAGGCAAGCCAATTATAGGGTAAATAGAAGTAGTATACTTTCGGATATTCGGTATCAGATGTATGTATTTCGAGGTACCGCGTATAAAATTAAAATGATAATTAAGCATTCAAAATTACCTTGGGAAAGGCAAGCAAGGTAATTAAATAAATGATTCCCTTTACAGCCCAAATAAAAGATGGATCCACCAATGCAATATTAAAATGATAATTCTGAAGCTTATCTAGAACCTCGTATATCACTACTAATAGTATGCTTGCACGTACAGCCTCAGCCAAAAATAGGAACTTTGAAAATTTAAATTTTCGAGTTGTATTTGACTGTGATTAGTTCACTTTTTATGAAAAACTGTAGAGAGGTCGAGGTACAGCTATACTATGGGTGCTATTATGAAATTCTAAATTTTTCTGGCACTCTATCAAGTTCTATGAGCTTGAAGTTTTGTAACCCAATGAACGTTAATGTTAATTTACTGTAAGTAAGAATAAGAATAAGAATTTTTTTTTTGTTCAAGTACAGCAGCAGAGTAGTTGAATTAACACCAAATAAAATTAACAGTAATGAACAATCTAATTGACAAACTAACTAATAATTTTAAAATATTCAATATAAAGAAATTACCAACGAAATCCCTATATGGTGCGTTTTAGAAGTATCATCAGTCATCACCATACATTTTTACCAATCGACATCATTTATTACGTAACTGCAATTTACACTCGAATTTGCATTTATATAACATTCGACAAGGCTCAAGTGAACTTAATTTTCTCCATAATGCCCTTCCCGATAGTGTAACAGGTCAGAAAACATTTAAAGAGTCATTCTACCGTTTGATTAGTGTAATGTTATAAAACATTTACTTCGTGGATTTTGTTAAATATGTGTAGTTCTACCGTTGAGTGAAGGATTACTGAATCAATGGTTCTACGTTACCTACCCCATATGGTTTCCTTAAATTTTTGATATAGACTATAATTTGTCAACGTATTCACTCAAGTGCCAGATTTAATAACAGTTTGTACACATCTATCAGTGTCATTATTTTTATTATTACGTCCACATGTCGGGCCTGTAAAGAAATGCATTTCTCAAGAATTTATCTTTTTACTCGGTAGAAATCCCCAGCACCGTAAATTGTTTAATCCGGTTCCGCTCGTTGTCTTATGCCTACTTTCTAAACAATACCTTTGCGAAAGTTGGTAATTTGCAATTTTACATAAATTAATGTCAGATGACGCAAGGATGCGTATCTTGCGGTTTTGGAATCGTGCAAAGAACGCATCACTATACGGATATTGATCGGTAGACCAGTTGGTAATATAAATTGTTTCTGTTGCGTACACGCAGTATAGATACTATCCAAAACGTAGAAGGTATAGTAAATGAAAGAAATAACGTTTACCTCGACGTTTCCTTTTTTACCATAGAATGCCTGGCAAAAAATTTATCTACCAGACCTACTTAAAATTATCCATTCATACCCAGAATATTCATTTAAATAAAAATTATCCAAATAAACGTTTTTACATCTTTTGGGCAACAATGAGAGATCATCAATATGATAATGCCCATGTCCCTATCTATACGGCCCCCTGCCTACACGCGTCGAGAAGTCCCCAAGTGTACCACACGTTTTAGCCTTTATACATTTAGATTAGGTAATTTTGTGTTAGTGTTTAACATGTTTTTTTTAACTTATTGTTGTAAATAAATTGTCTGCCCATGGAAAGTACAACAAACTGTGAATTAAGGAAAAAAAATTCACATATCATTCACGCCAGATAAACCGTATAAACAAAGTCAATTGTATACAAATCGTGTCTACAAATAAAAATGACATAAATTGTTGACATGAGTTCACACCTCGGTTCACACTAACATTGTTGTCGCGTACATCCCTGATCACCTCTTGCACGTCAAGCCTGATCTTTTTCCCAAGAAAATTGGCAAACAAATAAATTTTGAGTAGAAACATATTGGGAACCAAAAAGGAATATGGGCCGTGTCTTGGGCATTCAGCAAATGATTTTGATCTTTTTCGCATCAAAATCCGTGCACAGATAAACATTTGGAGGTCTTTTAGGCATAAACATGGGGGGCAAACAATCGAGAGTTTAGTCCTTTTCCCAACTGCTGCACAAGAAAACGACTTTGAATCGACTGCCAAATCAATTGTCGGTGTAAAGAACATATAGGGAAGGTCCGAAGTGATACGACGTCTAGGATCTAACCCAAGGTAGTCACCTTGAACTGATCTACATAATAACCATTGAACGGAAAAGTGAGGTCAAATTTAACGGTTTCACTTTCGTGGATTGTGCTAAAAATCAAAAAAGGGCAAGACAAGCGAAAAGATTGCTGACTGGCGCCTCATCTCTTTTAATTGCAAAAACACAAAAATTCAAGCAAATGCGCGCGCCATACCATATTTACCCTAATTATTTAATTAAGAAATGCATTAATTAATTAAAACAGAAGGCGCATTCTCATCGCTAAATAAATCAACTGCGAAAATATTTATTTCGTTAACTATTTGACCTTTCCCTTCCAAATAAAAGGCTTAAATTTAATGAACTTGCGGCGAGGTCATGCTGGGGGTCAATGTTTGATCTAGTTTCCTATATTGCTAACATCTTGCTTTTTTCTGCTTTTATCGTATCGTAACAAAATGTTTCATTTCTGATATCGCTCAAGATAAGCTCATTGTTCGCGTTATACACGATACAGAGTGTTATACAATGCTCTGATCACTATAAAGTGGAACGCCTTTAAAATGAGGGCAAATGCATACTAATGTTATTTGCACGTGTTATTTATTTGCAGAAACGTCCCACGCATATCGTATTAATTGTCGTGTTTGTACAATTTAATTAATAAAAGTAAAGATAACTGTCTATATTTGCTACATTTCGTTAACGAGAAAAAATTGTTTCAGAATTAACTACAGAGTGATCAGGTTATTTAGGTACAAAGCTATAGTCAAAATAAAGATGCGTTTCACATACTTACCAATACAGTAATTTCGAAATGGGGTTTGCTGAAACCTCCGGGTTGGGATTGTCGTATTTTTTCGTAAAATCCATTGTAGAAGAATACAAGTAGAGTCAATCACGTAAAGTTTAAATTTGGCATAATTTTTTCGAAATATTGCCTCATTTCAAAAGACGAATATAGTTCCCATGCAATTCACACGGAAATTATTTTAAAAATAAAAATTACACTATCCTTGGCAATTTTCTACTAAGCAAATAATGGATAATTACGCAGATATCGTACTAAACGAAGTAAGTGAACTGAAGTCACCGCGGGAAAGTGAACGAAATGAAATGAAAAACACACCAAGCGATTCCGACATCACTCGTTATTCGTCGGCAGGAAGTGGGTTCGCACGTGGTTTATGATTTAGAGGAGGTCTATTTTTGTTTTGCCTTTTCCATATTCAAAATCGAACAAAAGTCTGATGAATGAAATGGGTCATATGGTCATATCGCAAACAGGTTTTCACCGTTTAATGTCCTTACACTATCATTAGGTACTTGTTCTGCGCTATAAATATCTAGACACGTGATTACCAATTTTCGTAGAAACCGTGCTAATTAAAAATTTATAGTCAGTAAATCTAACGGATATGTATTTGATATAAGCCCAAATTCGGCCTCTACCTACCCACGTCAGTAGGAGCGTGACATCGTAGATATACTTTCTAGTTTCCATGATGCATGGAAGCAAAGATCAATGGAATGGAAGAGATTTTGAGTATTACAGTTCCAAAAAATCAAAAATGTTATGTAGTCAGTGTTCTATGCCAAAAGTTGCAGTTGGACTAAATTAATGACCATTTGTAAGGGTAGGAAGTTAAAAATTACAGGGAGGTTGTAATTGAATTTAATATGGAATGAAATGAGGGTTGGGAAGGTGGAGAGAGATTGAGGGTGATTGATTGATTTCGTTGATCGTTCTTCTATCATTTTAATGTTAATTGAATCTACGTACTTATGTTGCTACACAGTACCTAATTATGTCAGTTGGCTTGCGAAGAGGGTTTGCTGATCCAGCGGCTAGCGGAAACCTGGCATGAACCTATAATTAAGAACTAGTGTGAGCGTTAATTGCCCAAACACATTTGCTAAGTTAAATCAATTTTATCTAATACGGCAACTTATGGACAAAGGGATTAAACACGCATTGTCCATACAAATAACTGTTCCTTTAGGACAGTGGGTTGTGCAATGGCTTCAAGGGGTACAACGCGCCCCCCAACTACCCTGTCGCGCAACAAATGCACCCACCAACTAGTAGCGAGAAGTGCAATAAGCTCAGGGGGATTAAACAGCGCAATGAGCTTTTCTCATCCACTAATTGCATAGTGATATAGGTATATACTATTTCTTTTAAAACTTATCTGGGAAACCTGATTACAAAGGGGTAGAACGCGCAATGTAACCTAAGAACGGTTAAATTGCCGTCACAAATCAACTGATACTAATAAATAGAAACCTTATTCTCTTAATTACAGTTTTTACTCATGCCAATAACTACACAAATGTTATTTATATTCATGCGAATGTAAAAGGGTAAACCGCTCAGTGAAAACTCACCTATTTTCCAGCTTAATTTAATCAATCAGAGCACCCACACACTCACAATGGCTTTCAGATTTACCTACTATGAATGAAGTAAAATAATGTCACCCCTCTTTTAAGGGATTCTTAGAACGGCGGACTGACCTTTTGATCCCGAATCCTAAACCAATTAACAACCCTAACAGTGCAGTTCACACGTCCCTTTTTTTGTGAATATTTCTATTTTTAAAATACCCTCGAAATTTGGTGGTCATTTGTAAGAATTAATAAACATACCTTACACATTTTACGTCACTACTGCAGTGCAGATAACCACTATAGGTATATCAGTTTCCGCAACACTTACTTCATTTCAGATTAGGAGAGCAATTTTATAGTAATTAATTTTTAACGGTGGTAGCTAGATTTGGGGGTAGGATAGTGTAAATACATAACATTATGGCAACTGTTGGGTTTTGGAAGAATGTTTCGTTTTTGAAAATGATCCATTATAGAAGTTGCAATAGTTTTGTTCATTTTTAAGAATAAATTGCCCTGAGAGGTCCGCAACTATATTATTGTGTATAGCGCGCTAACACAAACTTGAAAACGTGAATGCTGTTCACAGAGTACCGTTTCAATTGTTACCCTATTCTAAAAATAACGTTTACCTACTTCCAGTTTTTAACACAAATTATTTCAACCAGAAAGTTCGACCATTGGGAGAAAATGGTATTATTACCGCAAAATCAATCGAACCAAATATCCGAATTATAAAAAAAAGTTGGTAAATCAGTGCAATACCCAATTGTATTGTAAAACCTGGTATGATGGTCCAATATGGCGTACACTGATGGAATTTTGACGAGAAGTACTGCAAGCTCGCCGCTTAGTTTTCAATAATCAATACAAAGGCATATTTTCATCCATGTAATTAAGTAGTTACTGTGGAATTAAAAGGAGTATATTTGAACTAAAGATGCCTAAATTGAAAAATTATTCTCTACACTACGGTTCATTTTACAAACGTAAAATAGCGCTTTTCGTTGTCTGTGTATCCATGCGGTAAGACGCTATGCACCCTGAATAGGAACATAGGTATAGTACCACCGGATGTAAATAGTATCATTGTGTAAGAATAGAACTTACACTACGATAGTAGGTATATATTTATATTCAAAGGTAAAACGTAAACAACATAAATCACTTGCTATTGCAATTGCACATGCATTATAGTTAATGAGCCATTTGATACAGATAATTATGCCTACAATTATAATGTACAGTTATACTATTACAATTCATTAGTTTTAATTTTAACGACGTATGTATTATACGTTTTTTATGTTCGTGTAAAAAGAATTAAAACAAAGATATAGGTGTATTAGGGCAAAAGTTTTTACCTACTTACAGCCTTACAAATTATTTTGATGGCGAATGAGTACCTACATCTCAATCATAAAGATTTATTTATCACGTGTATAAAATCGTTGGGCTTGGGAGTAAGATTGAAGTCGCAACTCAATACATAAATTTAATGCATTTATGAGCGCCTATGTGGATTTGGATCCAAAACTACCAAAATCGTTATTTTATGCAGTAAGATAGTTTGGGAACAAGACCAATGGTATTATCCGGGTGCCCACGACCATTTGATTTTAATCTATTAGTCCAGGAAATAGAGACTGAAAATGGACCATTTCCTGCAAAACGAGAAGTAGTTCCAATTTTTTTTGCATGTCATGAAAGACTATCTGGTGGTTAAGAATCCAAGTTTTCGACCTCCCACCCCTTGTGCTTCCCCCGTACCACCCTTAAAACCAAAGAAATTTGGTTGGTTTTTTAGTTTTTCAACTGAACTGAAGTGAGACAATTTTTTCATTTCAAAAGTATATTAGAAAGGGCTATAATCTCACAGTAATTCAAATATCCTCACTAGCAAGGGTTGCAAGTTTCATTATTATGCATCCCCTTTGGTAAGGGTGCAGGGTAGAGGGATTTATACCACGATAAATTCAAGATATTTCCTCATAAAACTCTTAATTATAGTGTAAAAGTATGAAATTTGATTAAAACACCTACATAGAAATTTCAGAATTCTTAAAAATATAACCAACTCTCAAGCTCTATATCTTTTTTAATAAACATTTCACAAAAAAGTAGTGTATATCAAAGTTGTGTAGAATTTTATGGTCTACAATTTTTAATAACAATATTTTTTTCTAAAGTGAACTATTAAAAAGATATGATAGAAAATCTAAGAAACCAACCAAATTTCAGGGGTTTTGGGGGTGGTACGGGGGAAGCACAAGGGGTGGGAGGTTGAAAACTTAGATTCTTAACCACCAGATGACTGTCTACGACATGCAAAAGAAATTGGAACTACTTCTCATTTTGCATGCTAAAACCCTCTATTCCCTGGACTATATTTGATGAATTGTTTTGCGCCCATGTGTATTTTGATACCTATAAGAAGTTATGCACCTAGTTGTAATGTAGGTAGGTACTACGCTAACTTCATACTCCCAAGAAAATAAAATAAAAGAATAACTGAAATTGTGAAGTTTGTTTAATAATGATTGTTGTTGTTATGAAGACTGCGAAAGTTCGGAAATTTAAGTCGAAATAAATTACATTGCAAGAATAAACTTTGTAAATGGTAGTTCACCAAATAAAAATAAGCTCGGAAAAAAGAACTTACCAAGAAAAAACCAGTCGACAAATTAATATTAAATTTTGTGTGTCAAAAGGTCATCCACTGACTTTTCTGATGATGAAGATTATTACCCAAAATATCCAAAGAAAAAGCCTTCATCTATTTTGAAAAACTTCCACGTTACAACCCAGGATTATATAGAAGCTGGATCATCAAAAAATACTATCCATACGCAATCTTGGAGGAAATACAACCACTCAAATCCACACAAAATCATAATCAATCTGAATTCAACCGAACTCCTTGTCAATTCTATAGACTTTTATTCAATCCTCAAGGTATAAAGCGACACACGTCATCCCGTCATAAAGAAGAGTATCGGCATCTCTTATCCACTCTAGCTGAAGATAAATTGAACTTTATAAATCAATTTGCTGACTGCGAACTCACATCAGCAACTTTTCACCCCAACACCAACTTGGCAAGGCCTTCGGTAGTCAGAAAGTAAAGTTGGTAAAAGGCAACGTATCCATCAGACATCGAGACTACAAAACGACGAAATGTACTAGAACCGCCTGCAAATGGTCGGATGCCTACATCTTTTTTAGTTAAGGCACATTGATGTTACCTTTCCCAGACAGCATGAAATTACATAAATTGGGATAATAGTTGCTGTCCAATTTCTCCAACAGAATATCCAATCAAATCCTCGTTTCCGCACTGTTAAGATACGTCCTTACAGTAAACTTGGGCGGGCCATCTACAGCACCTATTAAAGTATTTAAATACCAATGACAAGCTTTATATGCCCATTAATTAATACAAAGCCTTAATGTGCTAAATAAAGTTTATCTTCTGACTACAAAAACGAGATCTAAATAAGTACATGGACTAACATAAATGTAATAAAAAGTTCATAAGAAATATTAAGTTGCGTTATCACCATTATTTTCTATGGTATTACTTTCATTAGCACTAATTACATTATTATAAGAATTTGCTGCTATTTGACGTAGTTTATTCTCCATTCCTGGTCCCGTCTCTTTCAACATACTTGTAAGATAACCGCTTGGATTTTGAAGTAATTCGTGCGGGTGAGCGAATTCAACCGCTTGGCCTGCATCCATCACCAGCACCTTATCGGAATCCATAACTGTATTTAATCTATGAGCTATTGTTAATACTGTGCAGTCTTTGAAGTTACGTCTAATAGTATTTTGTATTAAGGAATCAGTTCTGAGAAAAGGAAACGTGAGTTGAATTTTAAACTTACGGCATATACTCACTGATGATCCACATTGGCTGTAGCCTCATCCATAACTAAGATTTTATTATTTCTAATTATAGCTCGCGCTAAACAGAGTAATTGTCTTTGGCCAATGCTAAAGTTCGCACCGCCCTGCTTTACTTCCATGCTTAAATTATTTACCATTTGCTTCATTTCAACCTGCAATACATTTTTTTTGTAGATATAAAGAGTAGCTTTTCTTGGACTCAAAGTTAGTAGAGCCAACAAAATTTGCATTGGTTTCCATAAGAAAGTCTACCTTGGCTGTTCAGTACATACTTACATTTTCTAGGGCTGTCCACAATGTATCATCGTCACTCTTACTTAGGGGATCTAAGTTATGCCTTAATGTTGCTGAAAATAATACTGGCTCTTGTGGAATAATTGAAATGTTACTTCGTAAATCATGTAATCCTATATCACCAATATCCTCTACGTCATCTATTCTAATAGCACCTTCAGTTGGGGCTAACCGGAATAAAGCTGCAATTAATGAAGACTTTCCTGCTCCTGTTCTACCAACAATGCCAACCTGAAATCAACAATGAAAGCACTGATTAATGAAGGCAACCCATTACCTTTTCTCCAGGTTTAACAGTAAAGTTTAAATTATTAAGTACTGGTTCGCCGCTAATGTATGACAAATTTACTTTTTTGAATTCTACCTCTCCATGCTTTGGCCAATCTCTATGAGGTTTCTTTGCCGATATTGACTCAAAAGGCCCTTCCTTATCCAAATTTGTATACTGCATGATACGCTCTACACTTGTCATGTGACTTGCCACTTCTGCAGTTTGCCGAATTCCAAATTGCAACATGCCAGTTAAAATTAGGGATTGTGATATTACTAAGCCAACATCGCCACTTAGTGTTGTTCCTAAAATGCATGCTATCGAGAACCGCCACAAAGAAGTTTAGTTATATTTACCGTCATCAAAAATTAGAAACTGGAATGTCAGTATTAGTAAAAAAATAACGCTAATAATATCCAAATAAAAACCGAATGCTTCGCTTGCCGCCAAAAATAAAAACCATGCGGAAGTGTGCTGGTCTTGTATAGAGTCAAATTCTTTTGTAATCATCAATTCAGCACCTGATGATCTTATTGTCGCTAAACCTGAGAGTGAAGCGGATACATGCGAGAATGCAGGAGCACGCGCTAAAATGTCATTGTGTTAACAGTCCCAAATATTCAAAATTACTTACTGATCCCTTCCAAACGTTTAATATTTTGAGCACTAGCCAAGAAAATGACCCTTGTAAAGTAGAACAAAGCCGCCAATATGACACTAGGAATAATCATCCATGGTCGTACAATAAATACCATTATAAGTATTCCCAACATCACCATGAAAATTTGAACTGCATCCAATATCGCTTTGGGAAGAATTTCATCTACAGCACCCATGTCCTTTGAAAAACGATTCAAAATTCTACCTGTAAATTTTGAAATCACTATTGTTGTTATGACTGGGAGATATTTACCTGAAGGGTTGGAATCAAAAAATCTCATCTTCGCTTTTAAGACGTTACTAAACATGATGTTATGTAAGCCTTTTGAAGCGTTCATGCAAATTTTGAAGAAAAGCATTGAACGAATCGTGGTCAATACAATGGAAGCCAGAATCAACCCCGAATATACATAAATGTAGGTTGTAGTGGAATATATTGCTGTTCCCGTGTCTTGCCCTTTAGCGTTTTGTAAAATCGTTTCGTTTTGGAATCCCTCAGTAATTAAAGCTGTAAATTCGTCCATTGAGGTTGGAGTTGTGGCTTCATCAAAAATTGTTGTATTGCGCGATTCGTTGGTCTTATTTAATATCGCAAATAGGTCTGATGGTGATATTGTGAAATTGAATCCATTTGATTTATCAAAGTTATCATCATCTGAGATGTTACGGTGTTCCTCCGCATTCGTCCTAAAAATAATTACTTTAATAGATAAAGGTGGCGTTCAAGCGAAAGCGTTAAGTGGCGCCCAACACCAAATTTCAAAAGATAACAGGTCATGTGTGCGATTAATGTAATTCCATAATTTATTAGGCTTACTTGAAATGAAATGCTGCAACCGCGAATGCAAAACAAATTATTTGATTCGGCATTAGTTTTATTTTTATTCGAGGTGCCTATATACACAATTTTATTTAAATATCTTAACAAATAAACAAATTAGGATTGCGCAAATACCAAAGTTGGGTCTGCGGCAGTCTTTTTTGGAGGTTTGGGCAGTTTTTGGACTGTAACTTTTTGGCCCGTGTTAGTCTACGTAGCCGAAAGAAACAATAGCGACCTTTCTTATATCCTGAAGCACATGTGTATCAATTTTCAATGACGTGATCGGACGTTTCTACACAAAGTTATCATGCACACGGACAGACAGAATTATAAACGAGATCGTTAAAAGATACATAACTTACACCATAGCAAATAATAAGAGAAGTGCATGGACTGGCCAGAGATCTAACAAGTCACATGCGGGCTCTGGTGCAACCGCATGTAAACCTCCTAGTTTTCGCCATCGAAAGACCTGTCTGAGCGACGCAGCACTCGAAAATACGTCATTTTTAGGGCATTCTTGATTCTCAAAGAGGAGTTTATGGTATCACCAACTGTCGGCTGTTCGGGCGCCATTTATAAGGTAAGCGTTCACTGAAACGGAGAGGATGCACCGGACTCGCAGGAGAGAAATACTTTAAATGATATATGAAGATGCGTTCACTTAGACGTAACGCGCACTTACAGCAAGTGCAATGGAATTAATAGTATCAATCGATCGAAATCTCGACAACTGAGCCTCGTAGAACTTTCAGGTTTTCGGCATTACATTCGTACTATCGTGCTATTCCTGAATCGCTTAGTCTGAAAGCTATCGGACAGACCCGAAGTTGATACTTTATGAAAATGCCTCCTTTTAGAAATCGATCGAGATCCGCGGTAACGGAATGTCATAGATCCTTCAGCGTTTCAGCAATAATAGTATATTATATACCGCGGGACTGAAAAGTAGTACTTTTAATCCCGAAGGTAAAGTTTATGGCCCAACCGAAGGGAGGGCCATAATTTACCTGAGGGATTAAGACCACTACTTCAGTCACAAGGTATATACGATATTTTTCGTACTTCCGAAACTGAAACACTCTTAATATGTATGGAGTTAGAGAACGCGTTCTTTCAAAAAATCGCTGCTTATCAAGTTACCATAGGAACGTTGCGTTGGTACGACAATCCCTATGCTATGGTAACAAAAATAATTTGGAAACTGTCATTGTTAGTGTCATAATTTTGCTGGTCGGTGACAAAAGTGTATTTGATATTGATAAAAAACAGCCAAAGTAGGTAAAGAATTGATACCACCGAAATCCAAAAAACTATATGAGCAGCAGTACGATGCTTTTAAGAAATAGTGCCGCATACAAAATGTGGAACAACCTACTGAAATTGCCTTGTTAGTAATTCCATCCTTCCTGGATTTTCGTCCAAATTTAATCCCGGCGGGACAAAAGTGACACTTCAGTACTTGTCATAATGGAGTGAAGTTGTCACTTTAGTCTCGGAAGTACGAAAACATGTATATAATCGAGTTATTTTGTGCTAATGATCTGTCGCATCAAAAAAGTAGAGTGATGACACGTCTCAGACTTTTTTTAACTTTCTAGGTACTATTAGGTACGATGAAATTGGTTGGTGGGGAGATTTACTGCTTTACCATTCCTACTATTAGGTACTATAAGTACAGATTTTAAAACAATTACTGTCCTATACTTTTATAAATTAGGCAACATTTGTGACAACTCAAGCACATAATGGGCATAATGGGGTTTCAAAGATTCGTAAATGTTTCAGTTTCGCTTTAAGTGAACAGTTGAAGCCCCGTCCTTCGTTCATTCAAATTATCAAGGGGCGGACTGGCCCGGGGGGGCGGGTGGCGATGGCCACCTGGCCTATACGTCATAATGGCCCGTTGGAAATTTATAAGTATGTGCTGTATTTAGTTTCTTGCACTATTAATAAATTATTAACACGTTTCTCTAATTGGGGTTGATGTTAGGTTGTTAAAAAATTAGGCGACGCGCCTCGTTTGGATTGTATATTTTGTTACTTTTTATTATCAGCTGCAATTTAAAAAAAAACTGTATTGTAATTGATTTCCGAAAAAGGAGTACCTTAAAATGAAGCAAAAAATGTTTTTGTGGTGCACCGCAGAGCTACCCCCCGCCACCTTCAATACTACACTAACACTTTAATGGCCCGTAACCTATGCAATTCCACCTGGCCCGCCCCTGACTAGAAACCAATTTCGAAAGAAAATTCAAAGGGCTGTAACTTTTGAACTAGTAGCCCAATCTTGAAACTGTTTGAAATTATGGATTCTACAGGCCACATTCTATAAGAAAATTTTTTTCCGGGTCGATCTGAGACAATTTTTTTTTCGGGGCTCAAAAAAAGGCAGTGTATAACCTTCCTTTTTTACCAAAAATCGACTACACCAAAATTTCTCGGGAAAACACTTTTTTTTATTAATTTTGGTGCGTAGAATCCAAAACAATTCGTACTTTTTCGATCAGACTTCTCAATCAAAAGTTATAGACTAGAAACCAATTTCGAAAGAAAATTCAAAGGGCTGTAACTTTTGAACTAGTAGCCCAATCTTGGAACTGTTTGAAATTATGGATTCTACAGGCCACATTCTATAAGAAAATTTTTTTTCCGGGTCGATCTGAGACAATTTTTTTTTCGGGGCCTCAAAAAAAGGCAGTGTATAACCTTCCTTTTTTACCAAAAATCGACTGCACCAAAATTTCTCGGGAAAACACTTTTTCTTATTAATTTTGGTGCGTAGAATCTAAAACAATTCGTACTTTTTCGATCAGACTTCTCAATCAAAAGTTATAGACTAGAAACCAATTTCGAAAAAAAATTCAAAGGGCTGTAACTTTTGAACTAGTAGCCCAATCTTGGAACTGTTTGAAATTATGGATTCTACAGGCCACATTCTATAAGAAAATTTTTTTCCGGGTCGATCTGAGACAATTTTTTTTTCGGGGTTCAAAAAAAGGCAGTGTATAACCTTCCTTTTTTACCAAAAATCGACTGCACCAAAATTTCTCGGGAAAACACATCCAAAACAATTCGTACTTTTTCGATCAGACTTCTCAATCAAAAGTTAAGGACTAGAATTATCACTGTTACGATACATTCACCATACACATTTTGTATGCTTACGTCAATGGCGCACGGCCTGATGATGACTAGTTTCAGTCAAAATCGATAGCCTTAAGAAATTATAATAATAAAACAACAAAGAACCCAAAATTCCATCGGATCTAATTGCAGAAACAAACAAGAAAGGTCATAGGCCAGAAAACCGTCAGCGTCACAAGCATTTTGAATCACGTGGTAGTATTCGTCAGTCCGGTCCGATAAGGGTCAACGTTTCCAGTTCATTGGGCATCAATGGTCTATGTCGACCAAATCATAGATCATATGTAATTGCAGAATTAAGTTATGATTCCTTGAAGTGCACCTCCTGCGAAAAAGTCGGTTAAGGTTACAAAGGTAGGCTACACATATCGAAAACAAGTCCTTTGACATTCCAACACCCTCAAATGGAAGAGGATAGTCCATCCGACAATGAATATGGCATCGTTCGGAGGTTGGACAATAAAATTGCTCTCCGAACCTGATTTCAAAAACTTGGCCTCTTTCCTCTTCAGACTATAGGCCCGTTTCATCCCGCTCATACGCAAATCACTTCATAAAATCCTAAAGGTAAAGTGCCAGGCAAAGATTAAAGGAGTTTTTCAGATGCCTCGACCAAGAAATGTGGGTGGATTAAGACAAGTCTTTGGCTTAATCACTTACTATGCAAAATTCATAATTGAATTTCTATATAAAGTCCTACCCGTTACGCCGTTTACGGGACAGGTGAACGATTCTTTTGGTGAGCTGCTGTTGAGCCTCGTTTCTAAGTCTCAAGTCAGAGTTGTGTAGTGACTATAAGGTGCTAATTCCGTCTGACCCATCAAAACAAGTAATCCTAACAACCGATTCTAGCGCTACAGAGATAGGTGCAGCACTCAGCCACGAAATTTACGGTCACGAAATGCCAATTGCCTACGCCTCGCAAGCGCTGTAGCCATTGTTTATGAAGTGACACACTCCTTTAATAATGTGTTTGGTAAAAGATTTTTTCTAATCACTTCACGCTGAGACCCTACTCCAGATTTCGAGCACAGCTAAATAGCTGCCAAAGGGAACGACTAAGGACCCAGCCTTGCTATACATAAGAGCCGTAAAAACAGCTCATACACCGTTTCTGGCAATATACTTAATGGAGCTGTTATTCTGAAGACTCTTCAAGCACCAATTCTGCAAAAAGTTCATGCTTCAACCTCCACTTTCCTCCTTCAAAGTAATTTAACCCAATGAACTCAAATTGGTTATACTTATACCTAAGGGTTCATACTTATGCACCTATTTTGGCCCTAAATTTTGTACAAGCAAGGTCAACATTTCAATGTCAAGAATGCTCATTGCATTAATTTCTTAAATCTTTTGACGATCTAAAGATAGCGCCAGCAAAAATTTAATTTTGACAATTAAAAACATGGAAAAGCTTGCATACAATATAGCAGAATTTCTTTGATTCTACAATTCCATGTGTAACTTTTGCAAGAAATGCATTTTCACATTTTTCGCATTAAACGCACAGTGTAATCATGAAGCATGATGAGTTTCGTGAGGCGCGACGCACACTACAATAGTTCATTTTCTGATAATTTGGCCTAACGATCTTAATTCATATTCATTCTCATTATGAATTTTAAAGTAAATATTTAAAGTGCAAATAGATGCATATTTCAACATTTTTTAGCATATTTTACGCCACTATGGCATTCAAATCAACACACATAATTTTGCAATTTAAATCAGGCGATATTTCGCTTTATCTTCATGTATTCTTTGGGTAAATGAAATTTTGCCTTTAATTTTCCATGAGAAGTATTTTTTCCTCTATGTTTGAAGGAAATTATTTCTTTTTAGTGTATTACAATTTTAAAAAAATGTTCCACTACCTTTAATGCCACAAGTAATTTTTTTTGCAAGTGCAGTGATAAAATGAATATGCCAAATGTTGTTTTGGTCCCGAATGACAGCCAAATTATCCCCAAGAAGGGTCAAAATCTTTATTTATGCCACAAATTCCTAATAAAAGCGTCTAATTCCGGCATAACATGTTTATAAGAAAACGCGTGCTTAGTGAACGAAAAAGCAAAATTGAATTTCCACGGGCAAATTCATTTGCGTATGGCGCTTGATTAGTTTAAATCGCATTAATCGCAAATGACCTCCATAGCTTCTTGTGCCTAAAGATAACCGCAGATGCGGTCACTTCATTTCTTTTATTTTGTTATAAATATAGAAGTAACATGCAGATAAAAAGTCAATTGTTCTCAATAAACTTACCAGTTTGTTAACCAAATATCAGAGCCATTACAAGCTACCTGAGCTATGATTAATAAAAACAAGAAAAACAGTAACAACACTATAGGCCCTCCTTCTCGTATATATGCCATATATAATGAAGAGGATATAGCACCTTTTTCCACTAACTCTTGTGTTTCCTGAGGTTCATTTTCTTCGTCTTCGTCAACTGTGCTCTAAGAAAAAACGCTTAACAAGATTTCTCAAAGAATACGTAGGTACCTCTCGTCTCAAATGCCGGACCAAAGAAGTCGATAAGGGACTGTCAATCTTTTCTGGTTCCTCTGGTGTTTCAAATTGCAAGTGCGCCAATTCATGGTTTATTAATTCATCGTAAGTTCCAACTTTCTCTATTTGTCCCTGAAATTTTTAAATTATTGCACAAAAAAATGTGGGTGAAATACATACATTGCTCATTATCACTATAGTATCGGCATGTTTCAGAAATTGCAATTGATGAGTTACTAAGATTCTTGTTTTGTCTTTTAAGTACTTTACGATGCATTGCTCAAAAAGATGCTTTCCAACATGAGCATCAACGGCAGATAAAGGATCATCAAATAAGTAAATATCTGCCTCTCTGTAAACTGACCGGGCCAAATTAATGCGCGCTCGTTGACCTCCACTTAACGACACTCCTCTTTCTCCTACTAAAGTCCGATCGCCGTTTTGTAATAACTCAAAATCTCTCTTTAATGCGCAGACATCAACGATGCTTTTGTACTTAGTTCTTACATAGGGCAATCCGAAAAGAATATTATTGCGAACAGTTGACACAAAAAGCCAAGGCTCCTGTGAAGCATATGATACATTTCCATGAACTTCTAAAGATCCGCTGTTAATTGGAAGTTCTCTCAAAATTAAGTTCAACAGGGAACTTTTTCCGGCGCCCACTTGTCCAACAACAGCACACAAGGTTCCGGGTGTGATATTCAAATTTATGTTGGTCAGAGTGTCAACTATTGGATTCGGTATCCAACTCGCTTTGGCCCGATTAATCTTGATCAGGCCAGTCTTGGTGGATGCTTCAGAATTAACTGACTGATTTGATACCTGGCTTATGTGTATTTCTTCTTGCAAAAGAAATTGCTGCAAATAAAATTTATGGTATCTACTAAAGCTGAATTGCTCTTACCTCAACTCTTCCTACTGACACTTTTGCCTCAGCAAAAAATGATACTGCTAACGGATAGAATATTGCCATATATAGCTGGATAGTGTTGAAAAACTGAGCCATTGAGAAAACTTTATCGCCGGTGAGCCTGTTTCCGAGAAGGACATACGTTATAATAGTTAAGAACAGTGTGAAACGCTCTGTGTAAACCATTAGCGCTACTAAAAAACCACGGATGTAGGACGTTATAGCTACAACGTCAATTTCCAACCTATAATGTGCGAGATAAAAAATCAATTCAAATTTCAATGTCACCAACGAACATTTCCAACATACTTTCGAGCAATTTTAACCAACTCCTCAAATGGTTTTTCCCAAGCGTACATCTTGATGACTTGTATACCGGCAGTGATTTCACTCATAAGTTGAACTCTGTGGTCAGTACGGTTTGCAATTTTAAGCCTAAGTTTACCTTGTAAATAAGATAAATATCCTAGAAAACGTGATAGTTAGTATTGAAACAGTGAAATGAAATGGTGTTCCAAAACCTTGTAAAGGCACTGCTTGTATGGTAAGAGCTGCAATTCCAGCAAAGGCCGCATATCCAATACTGTTGTACATAATAACACCTGCAACTACCGTTTGCAGGGGCATTAACCAAATGTAGTGCAAAAATAAAGGCACAAGGTCGAACCTAAGAACATCGTTAGATAACAAATTGACCACTTGTCCCGCGGCCGTATTGGAAGTTGATGCTTTATTTAAGCGAAGTACCTGCAACCATTTCTTAGCAAAGTGAAAATCTGATTTGTGGTACTATACCTTTCTGTAAATTAAAGAACAGGTAGCAATTCTGCACTGCATCCCAATCCGAGCTTGACCGAGTGATGCATGATGTATTATTATAACATTGATAAATGATATACCAATTACACCTAAGGCCCATATCCAACCCTCGTAAAGTTCCATAGTTCTGGACGGTTCGAAATATTTAATCAATTCTGCTAATACTAATGGCTGCCCCATTCTACAAAAGCAATGTTCGTATCATAATAACTGTAAAGAAACACTTACTTTAAAACGATGCATTGCAAAAATAGTTCTATTCCATATAACGAATACGGTTTAATAAACATATTTCTAATAACTCGTATAAATTCCGGTTTTTTGCTTGTCTTTTTTGCCCTTAAGCATTCTTCTTCCCAATGTCTGCAATTCAAAGTTAAAGTTACACTAAAATTTTTAGATGGTCTTACCTTTCCATTGTATCTCCTAATTTTTCCGATATATCACATTGGTTTACATTGTAGAGATCCTTAACTTCTAAGTCTTTTTTAAATCCATGATAAAAAAGAGGGAGCAGCCAACTGAAAAGAAACGATATATTAGTCATCAGCTCCATGTAAATTCTTAATACAATATTTAGCAAATCTTTTATATAGCCAAATTTTTGCAGGATTATAAATAAATGACCATCTGGCATGAACAATCTCAAGTCTTTTCGAGCAAAAGTTAAAAGAATTTTTGTTGAAAACGTATTTGATGCGGTACAGGAGTACATCGATTTCTAATCGGTTCCTTCTGAAAAGAAAGATGTGTTTTTATATATAGCTATTATTGCTTTGGGGCCAAAAATTACTCCCCATTTTTTTGCCGGTAATTCACGTTTTAAAGCATCAGAAATTTGAATCAAACAAAATCTCGATGATATCGGTCGGTCTGTCAGTCTGCGTTTATTCCCATTTCCGGCTACACGGTGGTACACATAATCTTATAGACAAAAGAAGAAGCTGAAAAGCTTTTGGGCAAAATAGCGCATGCGCAGATGCGCGGATGGCATCTGTGCTAGTCACAGCATAATTTTATATACATAGATTGGTGCCCATATATTTATATCTACAGAAATTTCAAGATGTATGTATGTATTTTAATTTTATTTGTCATTGTTTTTGGTGTTCGACATCAAACTGGTGTAGGATATCTGTCTAGCAGGGTAGGTACCACAGAAAGTAAAAAATAATTCCAGTAAAGTGTAGCTGTAGAGGATCACACGTTTAAAGGAAAGTCCTTAATGTAGGGTGCAGTTTGTTCTAATTTGTAAGTCTAGCTCTAGGCCGAGGTTTAGGCTTATCTGAGTTCTGTCTTAGGGCAGCAATCTCTTGATGTGCACTTCGTTGGGCTTTTTTCCACAAGTTTCTGCTCGATTGTAGGAGACATGTCATCTTTTCTTAGGTGTTATACACCCAGCGGCATTTTGTTTGATTACTGCCGTTTCTATGTCCTGTTCAGTTTTTAATGGTCGGTTTAGTGAAATTTGGCTATTCAATTGTTCTATAAATAGTGAAATAATGACCAGTCAGTTCTATTGTTAGGTATCTAATGAAGGTTGTTTTTCAATGTAGGTATAGAACTTTTGAATAGGTAATATGTTATTATTGTTATCAATACTGGGGAGTGGTCACAGTGCATAGTAAATATACCTCGAAATATACAAACAGTGAATTTTACACATGTTAATAAAATAATGAGTCAAGTTAAAAATACACTTAAGTAAAATAAAACAAAATATCACAGTAGGTATATTAGAACAACAATCGACAAGTAAAAACTTCTCAAAAGACTAAAAAGAGTTAATCTTTAACTGACTAGCCACAGTATTTATTAATTTACTCGTAGGCAATGTTCTAAAATTTAACGGTAGGTACTTTGGTTATAAAACTTTATGCGGTACGTAATAATTGTTACAATGTATCCGTTTTAAAGCTAGATTACTGATTATCACGTAGTCTGGTACTGATGAACATCATGTTAAGTAATTCATATGAGTTTCATTACAGTGAACTAGGTGCCCATAATATGCAATTTAATATGTATAGGTACACAAGGGAGAGTTAAAATATCATATTTGGGAAATGTATCTTTACAATAGCTTTTATTCCTTTACCTTTAGGCTTAGAGTCCCACAATTAGTGATGTTTATTGTGATAGCGATTGCGGTAATTGTTAAACAATTGTGGCTATAAAATCGCGGTTGAAAGTAATCGATAATAAGAACTAATCAATCTTGAATATTTGGTGACCCTCACAGTAACAGTAACTAGAAGGCAGAAACGAACAAGGATTCAAATTCAAATTTGAGAAAGAAAAGAAATGTTAAAAATTCCGGCAAGCGTGCACACAAATTAAAAATTGTTAGATTCTCATAAGCATTAACAGCATAAGTTTCGCATACTCTAACAATCTAAGGTTAAGTAAATTCATTAACAAAAATTTAAAATATATAGGTACGTAACGAATTTGTGGATAATACACAATTCTAAATTAGGTAATATTATCGAGGAATATACCTACTTGCAATTTCAGACCTCTGTTTCCAAGCTTAAAACTCGAAATAGATTCAGATTATTTTTGGTTTTATTTTAGCAGTCGATAATTAGACAAGGAGCAAATAGAGTAAAGAAGACACTTTTGACTGTTCCTTGGAATTTGGCAAAACAAAATACATTAAAATAGCTGGAACAGAATTTAATGGAGCTTCAAACTAAAAAAAAGTAACTTCAGTTTCTCAGCAAATGGGTTAAACTCTTTGCAAAGTTGAAAGTTTCCAAACCAAAGGGAACGGCTTATCCTGACCAAATCCAAGCCCTTAAGTATAAAACAGTTTTTAAAAATTATCTGAGGAGTATATTATAATAGTCTGGGAATTGTAGAAAAATAACTAAGAACATATAGAGTGTTCCTTTTAATAGACATTATATCTTTGCTTTTAAAAAAATAGAAGTATTTGACACTAATTTAGGGAAAAACAGTTGAGTTTCGTTTTTGAATTATCCGCCCGATCGTTTGCATAGATGTCATCGCCCATAACCACGTATGTTTTAGCAAAGGGATATCATGTCGATATTTATTCACCAATACCGACAGGTCAGGACTGAACGTATTGAAAACCTTGTAAAGAAGTTGAACACCTACTGCCTAATACGCAATAAACTAATAAGCATCGAGCACACGTGGACATATTACTTAATTACCTACTTATTACTCAAATACATTCCAGACTTTCATACGGTATTTGGGCATTATTGTCTGGGGATCGTCCAGCCCAGCGAAGAGAGTATTTTTAACTCAAAAAAGGATAGTATTGCCGGTAGTAGCACATATGAATCTTGCCGACAAATTTTCATCAAGTTCAGTATATTAACTCTTACATCTATACTTACACATTTCAGTATCATCATACATTTTCAGTAATCGACATCATTTATTACGTAACTGTAAGTCGAAACCGAAGTCCAGACAAAGATCATTTGGTAACTCCCTTTTGTCTTTTAGTGATAGCATATTTAAGTACGTAGATACTACGGCACCTTTTTTAATCCCAATTTACATATACAAACTACAAAATTACACACTGCAAGGCAAAGTTTAGAGATTAGTTGACCAAAATTGCAAAATTCCAAAATACAAGCTATCAATGTGGTGAGTTGAGTCGATATGGAAAAATAATAGGGAAGGTTTCTGAAAATGTGTACAAAGAAAAAATTGAAGGAGTCTGATCCAATATTTTCAGTTTTTCCATACTGTTGTCGCTATCGAGTATCGAAGCACTCGCAGTTACATACAGTGAATTTTTTTTAAATGCGAACATAGGAGTTTGCATGCAATGTAATTTCCCTATGTTCGATTTTAAAAAAAAACACATCAATCTATTGAGTAGTTCAAATGAGTAGTAGATACTCGAGTAGATATAATTGACAGCTGTCATATTTTTAAAAATACCGTCGTCCAATTTAATTACGAAATCGGTTAGGTTATTGCTTAGAATGTCAAGGAGGACACTTCGAACATTTATTGTAATTGTTTGCGTTATATATTTTCTTATTTTCTTCATTTATGTATTACTATTGAATAGATCAAATTAGTAGAATACCAGGTGCACATGACCTACAAATAATTGAAGGTTGGTTCACAATGAATTGTGATGTCAGCGCGTGCCATGTGAAGTCAAGTTATCGTAAGTTTAAGAAAAATGTATCCTAAAGTTGCTATGGCCTCACATGGCTTAATTAAAAGAATCTTACCGAGTGCTCTTCATCATAAAGACTATGAGTTGCTGTTCATAGTCACACAAGTTGCGCGATTTGGGAATGTGAACCGCGCACATGGCCACATCTCATAGATTGATGTGTTTTTTTAAAAATCGAACATAGGGAAATTACATTGCATGCAAACTCCTATGTTCGCATTTAAAAAAAACTCACTGTATATAGTCTTGCATTGATTACACAACGTTGGTACAACATGGAATTTGACAGAAAGATTTTCATATATTTTGAGAAGCACTGAGGTGGGAGCTGCAGAGAAAATACTTTTCCGGTAGGTATAGTACAGTGTGTAAAGCGATGGGGTATACAAGAGGGAATTTTTTTAAAAATCTTGATTTATGAAAAAAAATTATTCTCCATGATATGTTTTGCTTGCTTTGAAATTACCAATAACGTTTCGATAATCTAAAATATATTTATAGAAATCTGGAAAAATAATAAAATTAATTTTTTTTTATTGAAAGTTATTCTACATTATAATTAAGATAGAGTATTGCTATCAAACGACAAACAATCGAAACGTTATTCGTACTTTCAAAGCAAACAACAAATATTATGAAGAATAAATTTTTTTCATAAATCAATATTTAAAAAAAAATTCCCTCTTGTACCTATACCCCATCGCTTTACACACTGTATGTATAATGCAACCTACTTGGTAACCTACCTATGTTTTAAAAATATTAATATTTGTACATTGTAAACAACAATTGTGGTGTCCCCATTTAGTTTAGCATTCCATACAACTCACCTGAACAATTGTAGTTTTTGTTCATTGTGAAAAATGAACATGTACAGACTAATAAACGCGTCTTACCTTTCTCTTTGAATCAGTAAGTACCTACCTAATACCACAGATGTAATATTTAAATCTGTGCTAATACCTACACATGGCGTGTTCTGTTCTCTCCGTATACTGTACAGGCACAGTATTTCAAGCAAGTGTACCAAATACGGATCGGTCAATTTTGCATGTTTAAATTTTGAAAATCGATGCTTTTGTCTGCAGTCTGTTTATCGAAACAGTAGTGGTAGTTAAATTTATCCATATTAAGAAAATAAAGCAAAATCGTTATACGCTGAACACCCTTGACGTGTTTTTCAAAAATTCATTTGCACTTAAAGTGTGCATTGTTATTTCAACAGGTGCAACATAGTTGCTCTATTTTGCTTGCACGTGGAAGAAAAGAATATAGATATAGGTACCTTGTCCAAAGTGGATGTGATTAAAGTTTGTTTCATTATAAGCAAGACGTACGATA